TTTCAATAAAATGGTGATGTCACCTTATCAGTGATACAAAAAATTATTAGGTATTTCGGAATATTATATGTTTATATTCTTTTACTAATCATCATTCATCATATTCTCTCATGTTCCTCAATTACCTAATACAAAATTATAAACTTCACTTTTTTTACCAATCATAATACGGAAGTGGGGATGATGTTGCGCGGGTTACGCAGCAGCGGCTGCTGTGCGGCAAAATGGGCCCATTTCGGGGCCCATTTTGAAAATCCGAACCGTTCATATTTTAAAATTTATAAAGTAGAACATGCTTGAAAAAAATCAAGTTAATCAGATATTGTTTACCTATTTATCCACTTACATTTGTATTCATTTTAATACTTTAAATTACAATTATTATTTATTTTTGTAGATACAAAAGTGAGTGGATGAATGGGTAAACGCTATCCAATTAACTTGATGTTTCGCAGGTGTTTTTTACTTGATGTATTCTAAAATGTGAACGGTTCGAATTATCAAAATGGGCTCCGAAATGGGCCCATTTTGCCGTGTAGCAGCATCTCCACTTTCTCATAATACCCTGAAACACCATGTGACCGTACTCTAGGAATGCCCAATGAAGGGGCTAAACGTGAAATGGGTCGGGTCCAAGCCTTGGGCCGGCCCAATCCGCTGAAGTCCAAATCCAAGTGAGTTGGATGAGTATATGGGCAAACCAATTGAGCCCAACTTCACGATCAATAGTCCACCCAAGTCCTTAAGCACTTGGGCTCAACCCGCAGTGGAAAGGCTAGTCCAGCCGTGGTGCTGGGCTGGGCCGAGCTGCGAGACTGAACCTATGGGCCAAACAGAAAATAGGCCGAGCCAATACAAAGATATCCAGATGGATCAGCCCATCTACATGAATGATCCTATAAAAGGCCGACACAGGGCATATTGATGTCGAGCTGAGGAACATCAGTACCGAGCTGAGGAAATCTCGCAAGGAAACGTGGAAGGTGTGAATGTGTGCATGTGCAAGTTGCCACCTCAGCTGGTCCCCTACACCTAGAATCACGGAAATTGTTGAACCAAGGAAATGTGGTTTGTTATCAGCATGACCGTAATGAGTATATGCATTTATTGAAAACTACTAGGTGGTCCCCCACCATGAGCAATACCAAAAGGACACCTGGCAGCATCCAAGCTCCATGAACCCACCTTGAGAAGCAAGCAAGGAACACTATATATACAACATGAACTTCACATTAAAGGTAACTGAACTATTTCGAGCTAAACCACACTTACATACAAATTCAACCCTCTATACACTCCTTCTCCGATCGCTAATTCCCACACCAGAGGGGTTATTCGGCCAACCCTGGCCGGGCAGCTTTGACGGTGCTTCCTGTGGCAGGAACCTCAGTCCCTGGATAGTCCAACTGAGAGCGGAGCCCTAATCCACTTTCATCTAGTGCGAAATTCGGTACGCACAATTGGTGCGGTGAGCGTGGATCGCTTAATCTCTGAGCTCTGTACTCAGTTCTAGCGATGGGGATTGAGGACGTTCCGCCTTCAACACATGCTCCACAGACGAACAAGACGAAGGACAAAGGTTTGGCACTCCCAGCAGTCCTAGAGGAACAAACTAGAAACAATAATCGAACCCCTGAATCCGTCGAGCACCGATTGCCCTTTGCTGGAGGTTCTTCTCATCACTTTCTTCTGGAAAAGGATTATAGAGATCGCATCATAGACTCCACGGGGATGGAGATACAGGAGTTGAAAGCCCAACTTAAAAAGGCGCTGGGAGATCCGACGGAAAAAAGGATGGAAGCAGAACCCTCTCGTCTACAACGAAGGAGCTCATCTAGAGAGCCACCAACGAAAAAATTCCCCAGAATTGAGTCTGGGCAACGAAGCCAGCCTACCCCGATACAGAGCAAGGCGGCAAGTAGCCACACCCGTGGGTCACGCCGGAGGGCTAAGAGGCAGAAGACAGTCAGTCAGCAAATTGGGTACCCCCCACAAGACTTTCGTACTTGGTTGATTGGCAATAGACAGAATGAACAACATCAGGATGATCTGGACCGTACTGTTCACCAGAGGGAACACCGAGCGCTGGAAAGGCTCGTCTCTCCGCCATTCTCCCTGGAGATCGAGACCATGAGACCTCCAAAGAAATGCTGGGAGATCCGACGGAAAAAATGATGGAAGCAGAACCCTCTCGTCTACAACGAAGGAGCTCATCTAGAGAGCCACCAGCGAAAAAATTCCCCAGAAATGAGTCTGGGCAACGAAGCCAGCCTACCCCGATACAGAGCAAGGCGGCAAGCAGCCACACCCGTGGGTCACGCCGGAAAAGGGCTAAGAGACAGAAGACAGTCAGTCAGCAAATTGGGTACCCCCCACAAGACCGTCGTACTTGGTTGATTGGCAATAGGCAGAATGAACAACATCAGGATGATTTGGACCGTACTGTTCACCAGAGGGAACACCTCCAAAGAAATTCACCCCACCAAAGTTCACTTCATACGACGGGAAGTCAGACTCGCTGACATATATTAGCCACTATAGACAGATGATGTCCCTATGGAATCGAGATGAGACACTGATGTGTAAAGTCTTCCCATCCAGCTTGGGAGAAACCGAACTTCGATGGTTTGATCGTCTCCCCGCTGGATTGATCCATGGCTAGAAGCAGCTCTCTGAAGAGTTCCTAGCCAGGTTCGTCTCCAACACTAAGATCCTGAAGGAGCCGGATACACTGTTCGGTCTCTGAAAGAAGCAGAAAGAAACGCTGCGTAATTATGCTAGGAGGTACTGGGAAGAATACAATGACCTGGAGGAAAATGTGTGCAGCGAGCAGATGGCCGTTATGTCCTTCAAATATGGTCTACGCCCGGAAAGTAAGCTGAGACAATCACTTACCAAGCGCCCGGCCACAGCTTTGAAAGACTTGCGCGCCAAGATTGAGCAGTGCACTCGTCTCAAAGACGATCAGATCCCCATCGAGGTAGCGTCAGCAGAACAAACAACTCGGCATAAGAAGAGAACAGATCGAGAAGAACACTGAGGGATTGCAGTAAATGAGGCAGATAAGTCCAAATCCCACGAAGCCGTTGTGACTGTATTCAAAGAGCCAATCTATCGAATCCTGGAAAAGATCAAGAGAGAGCCCTTCTTCGTTTGGCCGCCGAAAATGTTGGGAGATCCAGCTCGATGCAATCAGAAGGTCAGATGCACCTACCACCAAGACAGGGGGCACATGACTCAGAACTACAAGGCATTGAAGCAACACTTGGAAGACCTAGTGGCAGCTGGACACCTAAGGGATTACATTGATCAGGATAAGGAAGCGACCCAACTGGGAAAACCACCTCCAGAACCAAACATTGAGCATCCACCTCGACTGATAATAAATGTGATCCACGGGAGAACGACTCAGGAGTCTGAGGAGGCACTGAAGGAAGAGATCGCCAAGGCTGCGCAAATTCAGCGGGTCATGTCAGTGGAGCCTGCATCGAAAAAGGTGCGTACAGTACCTAAATCCCCCTTGTGTAATGTTTCATTTACTAGCAAAGATTTAGAAGGCATACAGCACCCACATACTGATGCATTAATTATAACTGTGGGAATTGGGAAATGATTTGACGTAAAACGAGTCTTGGTAGATCAAGGTAGTGCAGCAGATATATTGTATTATGATTTATTCAGAAAGCTTGGTCTCTTCGAGCAGCACCTCACCCCAGCGGCAGCCCCGTTGGTCGGTTTCAATTCACAGGCAGAATGGCCACTTGGTAGAATAGTGTTGCCAGTCGTAGTGGGAACAAAAACCCTCCAAATAGAGTTCTTGGTAATTAATGCACCATCCCCTTACAACGCCATACTTGGCCGTCCGTGGATTCATCGAATGGAAGCAGTCCCTTCAACCTACCACCAGCTCATCCATTTCCCAACGGAGCACGGAGTAGAACAGATCTTAGGGGATCAAGTTGCGTCAAAACATTGCTTCATGGCAGCATTAAAGGCAAAACAGTTCTGCAATCGGGTACAGACGGTAGAAGTGGCCGAACAACCAGCCTTGGAAGATGTAGGGGGAACCCCAGAGGAAAAGATGGTAGAGGATTTGGAGAAAGTCTTGGTAAAAGAAGACGACCCAGAAAAGTACTTCCTTATCGGTACCTCGTTAGGCGCTGATGAGAAACTTCAGCTGCTGGAACTGCTGAGGGAAAATATGGAGGTATTCGCATGGTCAGCATATGATACTCCAGGGTTGGACCCAGAATTTGCTTGCCACAAGCTTAACATCAACCCTTCAGCTCGGCCCATTGTGTAAAAAAGTCGGAGCGTCAGTCAAGCACACCGAAGTAGTAATTACCGAAGTCAAAAAACTCCTGGCTTCAGGAGCAATCAGGGAAGTTCAGTACTCGCAATGGCTGTCCAACACGGTTGTAGTCAAGAAGAAAAATGAAAAATAGAGAGTTTGTGTTGACTTCACTTGCTTGAACAAAGCCTACCCTAAAGATAGCTTTCCGCTGCCTCGCATTGATCAACTAGTGGACTCAACAACAGGGCATGAGTGCCTGAGCTTTCTGAACGTTTATAGCGGTTATCATCAGATACCACTGTTCGGTCCGGATCAAGAAAAGACAGCATTTATCCCTCCAAGGGGAACTTACTGTTACAAAGTAATGCCATTCGGCCTCAAGAACGCCGGGGCAACCTACCAGCGAATGATTACACAGATGTTCAAGGACCAACTGGGAAAAACCATGGAAGCATATATAGACGATATGGTAGTAAAAAGCAAGTTCGCTACAGACCATCTTGCATACATGAAAGAAGTTTTTGGCATCCTGAAAAACCACCAGCTTCACCTCAATGCCTCGAAATGCGCCTTTGAGGTAGGAACAGGGAAGTTCTTGGGATACATGGTCACTCATAGAGGAATTGAAGCGAATCCGGATCAAATCAGAGTGATATAGGATCTTGAAGTACCAACAAAGGCTAAGGAACTGCAGAAACTAGCCGAAATGGCAGCCGCACTGAATCGGTTTATTAGCAAATCCTCGGATCGGATGAAGCCCTTCTTTCAGCTTTTGAGAAAAAAAGCGGCATTTGAATGGAGTAGCGAATATACTGAAGCACTGCAGAGTCTCAAAAGATACCTCAGTACACCTCCTCTGCTGTCCACTCCAGAGTCGGGAGAAGAGTTGTACCTCTATCTAGCAGTCTCAAATCATACCGTGAGTACAGTGTTAATTCGAGAAGTTGACAAGGAACAGAGGCCCGTCTATTATGTCAGCAAGACTTTACTAGATGCCGAGACACGGTATCTAGCATTGGAGAAATTAGCATATGCGTTGCTTATCACCTCAAGAAAGCTGCAACATTACTTCCAGGGGCATACTATAAACGTCCTCACTGAATTCTCCCTCAGATCTGTGTTCAGCCGAGCCAATTTCTCTGGCCGAATAGCAAAATGGGCGGTAGAACTTGGTGAGTTTGACATTTGGTATCAACCCAGGACGGCGATCAAGGCCCAGGTCTTAGTGGATTTTGTCGCAGAATTTATTCCCACCCAAAGCAACAAATCGGGGGATCCGCGTTCGGTACAGATGCCATGCACCATCGAACAAGGAAAACCCTGTGCTTCGGAAGCCTGGAAACTCTTTATTGGAAACATTTGGCAACTCTATGTTGATGGATCATCCAATAACCGAGGCTCGGGGGCAGGAGTGGTACTTATTTCACCAGAAGGGTTTATCTGGGAACAGGCTCTCAGACTCAGTTGGAAGGCTTCAAACAACGAGGCCGAGTACGAAGCGTTATTGGCTGGCTTATGTAGCACCGAACACTTCAGTGCAGAACAACTTCTTGTTTTCAGCGATTCACAACTAGTGGTCAACCAGCTTTCTGGGGTCTATGAAACACGAGAAGAAAGAATGGCTATGTACGCAGGCAAGGCCAAGGACCTGCTTAGAAAATTTCAATCCATACAAGTAGAACGAATCAGTCGGGACAAAAACAGCCACGTTGATGCTCTGGCATGCCTCGACTCATCAGTGGATACAAAGGATACCAGAAAAGTTTGGGTTGAGTTTGTACCAGAACCGCGTATTGCGTCTCTAGTCCTCTGCAACAACTTAGAGCCGAGCTGGATGGATCCGATATTTGTTTTTCTGAAATCTGGTACACTCCCCGAAGACAAAAGGGAAGCCAACAAGGTTAGACATAAGTTAGCTCGATTCTGGATCTCACCATCTGGGAAGCTATATAGACGCTCTTACCTTGGCCCCTACCTCCTATGTGTGCATCCAAACCTCGTCGAGAATGTTCTCTACGAAATTCACGATGGGATTTGTGGATGCCACGTTGGTGGAAGGTCACTGGCATACCGAGCCCTCACTCACGGGTACTGGTGGCCACGGATGCAACAAGATGCGCAGCAGTATGTACAGATGTGTGACAAATGTCAGAAGTTTGCTCCACTCATTCATCAGCCAGCCAAAACTCTCACTCCACTCACCAGCCTATGGCCCTTTGCGCAATGGGGCCTGGATATTGTCGGACCATTGGCGCGAGGCACTGGGAACAGGCGATTCTTCATTGCCGCAACCGATTATTTCACTAAGTGGGTTGAAGTTGAGGCGCTGACAAGTATCAAAGAGATGGACACGAAGCGGTTTGTTTTGAGGAATGTGGTGGTGCGTTTTGGCATTCCGCGGGTCATTCCACGGGTACTGATTGCGGATAATGGAACACAGTTCGATGGTAAGGTCTTCAGAAAGTTTTGTGCCGACCTCAGAATTGAGTATAGGAATTCTTCTCCAGGGTACCCACAGAGCAATGGACAGGCAGAAGCATCAAACAAAACTATCATCAACGGAGTGAAGAAGCGGCTTGAACATGCAAAAGGCAAATGGGTTGAAGAGTTACCTTACGTATTATGGGCCTACCGAACCACAGCACGGCGCTCGACGAGAGAAACACCCTACTCTCTAACTTATGGAATGGAGGCCATCATCCCACTCGAAGTAGGTCTTCCAACCCTTCGGTCTGAATTATTTGAAAGCTCCAGTAACGAGGAAGCTATTGCGCAAGCATTGGATATGGCAGGGGGCCGAAGAGAGGCAGTGCTGATCAGACTTGAAGTGTATCAGCAGCAGCTCATCAGAAGTTTCAACCAAAAAGTTTTCCCAAGGCAATTTACACCAGGAGAATTGGTTTTAAGGAAAGTTATGGATCACAAAAGGGTGCCTGGCGAGGACAAACTTGGGCCTAACTGGGAAGGTCCCTATAAAGTCACAGTTGCTATTGGAAATGGCACTTACTACCTAGAGGATCTGAATGGTAAAGCTATACCTCGACCTTGGAACGTAGCAAACCTCAAGAAATACTATCAATAGAATTATCCCCCAACTTCTCTATCAGAATGTAAAGGCATTTATCTGTTGACCAATGCAAATGTTTCCCCACTTCTCTCAAATTTATCAAATTCTTATAATTAGCTTTGATGTTTATCAAATGGAATTAGCTTGGTTCTTACCAAACGGAATTAGCTTTGGTTCTTACCAAACAAAATTAGCTTTGATTCTCACCAAACGGAATTAGCTTTGATGTATATCAAACGGAATTAGCTTTGGTACTTACCAAACGGAATCAGCTTTGGCCTTAACCCAAACGGACTTAGTTTCAGAACAACTGAACGGAATTTAAATTTGGTTAGCACTCAAACATGCTAAGTGGTATTGCTTGGTGGAATTATGTTTGGCAACCAAATTGGACTTTAGCCAACTGGAATTGCTTGGTGGAAACCGCACTAATATATCTTAAGTAAACATCTCTATTTAGCCAAGTGGAATTGCTTGGCGGAAACCACACTAATTTATCTTAAGTACACATCTCTATTTAGCCAAGTGGAATTGCTTGGCGGAAACCACACTAATTTATCTTAAGTACACATCTCTATTTAGCCAAGTGGAATTGCTTGGCGGAAACCACACTAATTTATCTTAAGTACACATCTCTATTTAGCCAAGTGGAATTGCTTGGCGGAAACCACACTAATTTATCTTAAGTACACATCTCTATTTAGCCAAGTGGAATTGCTTGGCGGAAACCACACTAATTTATCTTAAGTACACATCTCTATTTAGCCAAGTGGAATTGCTTGGCGGAAACCACACTAATTTATCTTAAGTACACATCTCTATTTAGCCAAGTGGAATTGCTTGGCGGAAACCACACTAATTTATCAAACAATTGTTTTCTTTCAAAACCAACCTAGACCTAAGTAAGACCCACTTACGAACCCAAGCACTGCCATACCACATATCCGTTAGCCACACCGAGCACAAGTTCGTCCCCGAGGTCCCAACAATGCTCGGTCGAGGGCAAACAGTACAGTTTCACACCGAGAATCAGTTCGGCCCTGAGGCCCCAACAACGCTCGACCGGGGGCAAGCAGTATAGAATCAGACAGAACATCCATTTAAAGGCAATACAGAACCAGACCGAGCATCTATTCGGCCCCGAGGTCCCAACAGTGCTCGGCCGGGGGCAGACAGTATAGGAAACATTCAAACATAGAAACCAAACGGCATCAGATTGCAAGTTTAAAAAGAAAATTATGTCATCAAACAAAAGGCACAGATGGCCTCATAACCAGCAGCAAAGAAAAGAAAAGAAAAATTGTTTTTACAAGTGCAGAAAGAAAGCTCGTCATGGAGACCGAGCCACAATACATCAAAGCAAAAAAGTCCAAATCCTTTCAACATCAATTTTCATCAATAGTGGGCAACTCAGAAGCAGCATCAGCAATTTTGTCCAGACCGTCTACGGGAGGAAAAGTAGAGGAAGCTCCAACTTCCTGAGAAGTAGAAGCCTCCTTAACCACATCTCCCGTGGCTTCAGTCTCTGGGGTTTCAATCCTTTCAACATCCACCGTTTCAGCGACAACATTCCTGTCCTGGGTCTTGCTTGCAGAATCATCTTCTGGAGAAACTTCGGTTGGAAGGACAGCAGGGGTAGAAACAGTCTTCGAACCCAAGGATCTCGAAGGAACGGGGACATCCTAAAACAAGGAAGAGCCTTCAGGAACCAGCGCAGCAGTCAAGGCACTCGTCCAACCCTTCAGGAAGAGCTTATCTCGCAGCACTAACACCTCTTCCTTATAGGCAGCCCCGGCTTCATCCTAACCCTGTTGCCAGTGTTTGGCTTCCAGTGCAGAACGCTCTGCAGCCATCACGGCAATAAGAGCCTCCAATTCGGCCACCTTCCCCTCAAGTTGAGCCTGCGTCCCAATAGCAGCCTCATTCGATTTTTCAGCCGAAGTGACAATCTTGTTCAAATGAAATGCTTCCCTCTCCGCGGTTTGGCGTCCTTCCTTCTCTGTCTCCAAGCTTACCATCAGTCTCGTTCACTGCGGCCTCCAGCACGGCCCTTTCTAGCTCTTCAACACGAGTAATGGACAGATGCATTCTCTGGATACACTGCAAAGGACAACGAAGAATTAAGAGAAAATGAGACAGCAATGCAAGAATAAAGGCAAGTAAAACAAGGAAACATTTACAACAGTCATCATTTGCAGGGTCCCCTTTAGGATAGGAATATCACGGGGCCCATTGTGGTTAGCCATATCAACCGGCATCAACAAAAACTTAGTCAAATCAAAGGCAAAATCTTGTGAAGTGCCAACTGAATCAGAAGTGGAAATGGGCGTGCCCTCATGCGATATTGGCGGCTCCCATTTCTCAAAAGCATCATCATCCTCAACAGGATCATCAGAAGCTCCCCCCACCACTACTTTGCCAGCCTCCCTTCTTCACTTTTTTGCTCGCGCAACGACTGAAGCTGAGGGCTCGGCAGCAGCCGCAGGGGTCCCAAAAGCTCCAACCTCCATCTTCACCTCTATGAGGCTCTTCACCTCGGTCTTCTCTAGAGGGGTTTGCAAAGCAACGGAGGCTCTGAAGGCCTCGGCCTCTAAATCCACCAACACCCTTCTCTTCGCCACAGACCCGCTCCCTGCGAAACTGGGGGCAGGAGAGGGCGCTCTCTCAGAAAGTGCACCCTGACTCCTGCGATGGCTCGTGACCAGAGGAGTGAGAGACGTGTCGGTCTCGGTATCAAAGTCCAGAAGGGTAGCAGCAAGCCTTGCTTTCTTTGGAATAACGGAGCGGTAAGTAGACTGGTAATCCAACAACTCAGGTGCAGATCTCTTTTTATACCTCAGGGCAGCTTTTATGGCCTCAGCATTCTCTCGGTTCGGCTTTCGTTCGAAACGAGAGGCCTCTGCAAAAAAGGAAGTGACCCATTAGAGCAATATCCGAAATAGAGTAAGAAATACAAAGTCATCAGAAGGAGAGGCCCGAACCTGGGTAGCCATCTTTTTGGGGCATCCTCTCAGACTGAAACTCAGTTTCGGCAGGGAACTCCCAGTTTCCACCAACTTGTAAGAAATCGTTGTTGTGTTTATCCGAATCAAGCAGCCCAGTAACCAAATGACAATCAAATGAGTGAACACGCAAGTAATATGTGTTGTGGTCTTTGTTATGAGAAAGAGTATAACAACCTAAGATGTCCCATATGTCAAGGTTCAAACCCAATCGTCTATTGAGGGCAGAGACACCGCAAACAACATGGAAAAGGTTCACAGATACTTGCATTGGGGTTAGCTGGACTTGATGCAGAAACCAGCGTACCAATGGGTCAAGAGGGAACCGAACCCCTCCCTCGACTATGGCCGCGATGGGAAAAGCAACGGTATTCCTCATGCCCATATGCTTGGCGTCTACTTTTGCCAACGAGAGGGTAACGTCGTTGGGAATATTATAGTCCAGGCGGAATATAGCCATGGCCTCGGGGGTATTGTAGACACCCCATTTTTGACCGTCCTCAAGACTTGGACGTCACCGTTTGAACACTCGGTGATTATCCATGTTCGTGTTCGTTTGGAGTTCTCGGAGGTCTCGGCTACGTGCCTTGCCTCAGGATCTCTGAATTCGACCGTTTAGTGTCTGGTTTTGCACCACCACACTTGCATTTTGCGCTTGGAGGCGCAGGGAATGCCTTGGTGAGGCATCCCCACACACACCCGGCCATGGCCAGAGGCCACCGGCTGGTTTTTTGCTGCACCGACAATGTATATGCCGAGGTCGGCACTCCCTTTTTCCAAAATGGCATCTTTGGCCGGCTGACTACTGTGCATCTGCTTTGGCAGATATTTTATCACAGCTGTCTTGCATTTGGCTCCCCTCCATACACGTATGGAGGGATCTCCCTCTTTAGAAGCTTGTCTTGTAAGCTTTACAAGACAAGAAGCTCTATAAGAGGAGCCCTTCCTCTCTTGCTTAGGGTTAGAGACTTTAGACATTTTAGAGATAGAAAACACAGGGAGAGCCTGGTTTTAGGGTTAGGGTTTGATACATATTCTATCTCTCTTTCCTCTCTTGAGTGTTCTAGGTGTTTTAGTCCTACTATTGTACACACAAACCTAGTGTTTCACATTCCTTTGGCTACTGAGGTTCTAAGGGGCTGGTCTTTGGTGTTTTGGAGCTGGGATTCAAGCCAAGGAGGGCTGTTGGAGCACCTTGTTGAAGGGGTCCTTCAAGGGTAAGAAACTTCCTTTTTTGTTCCCATTTTTGCATTTCTTTTTCTACCTATCTTAGAAGCTGTTTTCGTGCTTATTGTATAAGACAAAAAAGTGTTTTTTAGCCCTCTTGATTTTTATTAAGAGTGTTTTGTGGTTTGGGTTTGTTTGACCCTCCTAGCCTTGTAAGGCTCCTTTTTGTGCTATTTTGTGCAAGTTTCGAGAACTTTGGTTTTGGGCCTTCTTCACCCTGAAATCTTGAGGATTTCAGTGGCGAAGATGGTGCCTTGAAGTCTCCAAAAGGGGAGGGCCACCCCTCCCCTTGTTGTCCTTGAAAGGACCCTTTTTGGCCTCTTGAGGGAGCATCATTTTAAGTGTGTGTATTGATCATGTTCTTGGCTATTTTCCATGCTTAATATGTCATAATATACCTCTGTTTTTTTGTTGGTTTGGTACACCATGCATGCTTAGTTACCTACCTTGTAACGCCATGTTATTGCTAATATACCTTAGGTTGTTAGCCCTTGTTCAAGCATGTTTTAGGGCTTAGTCTTGTGAAGCTTTGTGCATATTTGCCATGTTTAAGGTCTGCCTAGGTTGTTTGGGTCGGATTTGGCATGCTTAGTATAGCCCCTTTGCATTTCTGGCTTGTTGGCCTTAAGTTTGGTGGAATGTATAACAATGAACATTTTTGCATTGATTTGGTTGATTTGGAACCACATCCACCATGTCATTATCCGTCCCTTTTTTCATGCACTTATTTTTGTTTTGCTTGGATGTCTTCTTTTTAATGCTTTTGAAAGCTTATGTGGCATGCTC